GCTACATGCGATACACGTATACTTGGCTAACCGTGTTCATAAACCACACTACATTGTTATCTCTTATATGCCTTTTGTCTTCCTTCTTATACACGTACTGATATTCTAGTGGTCAAAGTATGGGTTTAATGATCACAAGGTTGTTGGTTCGAATCCAGTCTGATGCTTTATTTTATAAATTTTACATGTTTTGGTTTAAAGGTAAACCCATGAAATTTAGCTCATGGTTTGTTTCAACTCGGATGATTCATGATTTTGAGAATGTTTGCTGCGTTACGGTAAAGTTGCTCATGATATCATGCCTATTATTCATGGTGTATTTTCATAACATGAAAACACGCTGTGTTCATGAACAGAGGTGGCAACAGTACATTTTTTGAAAAACCATCGTCCAGAGCGAAACAAAACAGCCAGCACACGGGCGGCCGTTTATAACTACATTCCAAGCGAACAGCGGAGATAGAGAATAAATAAAATCTCGCAGCCTGATTCTTCCAAACAGTTTATTGTAATGAAATTTTAGCTGCAGGCTTGCGTGTGACAGTAAATTACCAACTCCCTTATTTACGCATAATTTTAACATCAATGCTTATGAGTGGTCAGTCTTCATTCTTATCTTTTAATTCCATGCAATAAACATCAAATAAATGCAGTAATTAGCCAGAAATCAGCAAAATTCTACACGACATAAATTTATGTCGCGCGCACCGCCGGTCTTGTCTGCTTCTTTGTGCGAAAATGTTCTGTCGCTGGCAGAAAACAGTTTAGAAATGTCATGACATTTTTGCCGCTTGCCAGTTTGTTTTTGTGTGTCGTCACAATGGTTATCGCAAAAAATATCAAATGTTTATGAAAAAATGTTAAACTCCAGGACTCGTACCACCACTGTTCATGAAATCATGAGTCATTTTTCTCATTTCGGAGATCGGATTTTTCCCGTGTGGAGGATAATATGCGCGGAATGATGGACATTCATTTCGGTTTTTCGGTGGTTACCGTGCAGTAGTGGGAGCCATGCACGTAGATAATGTTTCGTGGCCCGTTTGCCTGATGCAGAATGTATATATTTTGTGTATGTTGGACTATTGACGTTGTCGTGGAGCGAAATCCAAATAATCGGTAGTTTGTATAATATCGCAGTTGTATATTATGGAAAGGCGATTTATTAAAGAATAAAGAAAGGAGTGCTTCAAGTGATACCAATCCGGCAAAACGCCTTTTCTTCATCTGGATCCACAAACTCTGCAGCAATCTCGTTCATAGACCGTGCCACTGCTGCGTCTTTTGGCATCTTTAGCCATCGAGAAACTTCCTTCAGTAATTTTTTCGGGTATATTAAAAAAAAAGCGAAGCTCCCGGAGCACAAAAATCCCTCACGAACGCGTAAAATGACTGACTTTCTAGCAGAGCCTTTAGTCTCGAAACCAATTGATCGTTTTGTCAAGCTTCTGCATTCATGTTCCATCAGATGTCACAGCTGTTGTTTGCGGTGACATCTATCGGAAACTAGACACAATCTGTTTTCCTATAATTGTTCACAGAGGACACTGCAGTGCAAAACATGTCTGGTACCTCTATATATGCATTTACATTATTATTCGAAGTCCCTCCTTTTTTACACATTCTGCACACAAAATAGCTCACCCCTCACAGAATTTCCCGCCGAATTTTATGTATGTGGCGGGGCATAAAGTATCTTTTGCGCAGAATATGTAAAGAAGGAGGGACATCAAATGTTAAAGCAAATGCATATATAGAGGTATCAGACATGTTTCGTAGTGTCAGGTACTCTATTTTGTAATCTGTGAAAGGGAAATCACTAATCGAGTATCATCAAAATACATGGCATTTTGAGAGATTGAGCTCGTGAGAGAGAATTTCTCTCTCACATTTGAATTTTTTGGCTCTCTGGGGACTGGTAGTAAAGTAGGTAAAATTGTATGGGGAAAAATCATTTTTATTTAATTGTAGCTTGTTTAACAATAATTTCCGGGAAAAAACTGAACGACAAAGTCCCTGATTAATTTCTTTAGGTTGTCGTTCACTTTTTTCCACCTGAATATGCACCGTAAGCGAATTATTCCCACTTCTCTCAATTTCTATATGGGGATTTTTATCACTTCCTACCAGCGAAACAGCGCCATCTCTGTGGAAAATGGTCGAACAAAATGATTAATTGACGCTTGAATAATCAAGAATGTTGCTTAACTCTCCGTAAATGAGTTGTGTGGAGCACAAGAGAAATTAAATGAGTTAACACGATCAAGATGTGCTGTCTGCCAGAAAGAAAGATATGAAGAGAGCGAAAACCACATATCGACAGTGAGCATGCATAAGGGCGTAAACGCGATGATCGATTCTCTTCGTCGATATTCTCTTTTGTTAATAACTCGCTACATTTAACGTTTCTCGGTGCGTTTTCTGTTGCTCTTGATAGCAAATACCACCTGTTACAACTCTGTATTGAACAAATTCTAGAAAATTGTTTCGAAGAGAATCGATCATCGCGTATACGCCCTTATGCATTCTCACTGTCGAATATGCTTTATTTAATAACCATCATACAGGGGTGTCAATTTTTTGGAGCACTGAATTTACATTTGAATGTTTGGAGATATATTTTGGTTTGAGCGAGTGACGTAAGCTGTTTCATCAATATCGTCGTGTATGTTCAAGATTTTGTAGTACTGGCTTGGTTCTATTTTGGATTTCCTGGTATGACTTCAATCGCACGTGATGTTCATTGATTAATAGATACCGCAACCATGTTCGATCATGCAGTGTTTGAGCTTGACTCTTGTTTTATTAGGGATGTTCATTTTTTTTTATTAGCTATGTTTGTAACGAAATTATATGACTTTAGCATAATAAATCAATTAAGCTGTCAAAGTAAACAAACAGTTCTATCTTTAACTCTCTGGTGATGAAACTGAAAGCTAAACAAAATGAATATGATGTAGAAGAAAAGTTAATCATACCTAAATTTTTGTGCGGCTGTTAGAATCAGCTGGAGGAAAATATGCGCGGAATGATGATTATTCATTTCGGTTTGTCGGTGGTTATCATGGCGAAGTAATTTTTCGAGCCCGTCTGCCTAATGAAGCACTTTTTGTACAGGTTGAACTCTTCTCGCTATCAGTATTCGGAAAATCATTCTCAAATCTCATTCATTGAGCCACCCTGAGAGAATAAAATCGCATGCGAATCTGGCAAACAATTCTCACACTTGATATTCTCATGCATGTTCACGCACTCACTCTAACTAATTCCAAAAAATCATTCCAGCTTAAAACTCATAAAAACCGCTCGAACTTCAATTGATTGCAAGCTTAAGAATGTCCCCCCTGGAGCCGCCAGTGCTTAACAGTAAATACTATGGCATCATAATGCAAAAACGTCATCAATTTTCGTCCATAACATGCGATACAAAAGTCTACAGGGTGATTCGGAGTAACTGTTTCATTTTTTTCCTTGATTTGTTTTCCGTACTGGGCACCAATGCTACTGACGCCAGGGATGCAGCTCCCACACCTGGACCCTACCTATCGACCCATCAACTCATGGACCGGGGACCAACGGCTTTACTTCTCTTCCGAAGGACATCCCGGCGGCGCCGACTGGAATTGAACCCAGGCCTGCTGAGGTGAGAGGTTATCACGCTTACCACTACACGCAGGAAAAAGAACGTCGACAAAAAATAATAAATCGGAGCAGACTAGAACCGAACCATGGACGTTGAGATTATGGGACCCGTATGTTGACCACCCGTCTTTCAACGCTTGGCAAAATAAAATGGTTAAAGGCGTATAAGGGCTACATCATGTTAGACGAAAATCATTCATAAGTTACCCTTATGAAATTCATATATGTCGTTAATAAGTCGAGCCTCATGAAATTCTTATGTTAATTTACTTCAGTGTACACCACCGCTGAGTAACTGTTACTTAAAACAATTGAATTAATTCTGTAATTTTCACGTTAATGAAAATGCATGTAATATTAATTTTCCATCCAATGATGAAAAAACAATACATATTAATAACAATGATTAATGCCAAAATAAGTAGCAATATTAATTTTTGAACCTGAAAACTCATCGGAGATTTTTGTGCCGTTGAATTTTTCAAGGCAAATCCCATAGGCGAATAAGCTTTCGCATGAGATTTGTGTAAGCGGTGCCGACTTGGATTGAACCCAGGCCTGCTGGGGTGACAGGGATGTGCCAAATGTAAATCTACTAATTTTTTACTGTGCATACTTTAATTCAAACCTCTTTCCCTTTACCTTCATTGCCACCCACATTTGTCTCACTGCTCACGCACGTTTTAGTTACAGCATTTCTGGAGTCATGGCGATGAGTTTAAGCCCTGATATTGAACGGATTGTTCTAGCATAATTCATTTGTACCTCTATAATGTTGCTGAACATAAATGTTTCATTCACTTGGTGAGATTTCAGCATCTAAAAGACAACACACGAATTTATACAGATTTATAACATCCTCTATTTTCACGTCCATATGGTTGCTTGAAATCGAAAACGAACGTAATTTCTAATCCTTCTATCAAAAAAATACTTGATTATATAAATATGTATTTATTTTACTTATAGAGAACTCCATACATCTGAAATCGGTGACAGTTACTCCGAATCACCCTGAAGAGTCGCCCGATAGTTTTTTTTTACAGTAACTCTATCATGCTGAAGGCGGCTGGATCGGTTCACGATCCAGTCCAAAATACCATCATTATAGAAATAATGTCATTTTCCATCGATCATCGGGTATAATAGTGTTTCTCATCCATATTAACAACTGCGGAAATATCAAAAAGCTCTAAATGGAGAGCGCAACAAATAAAAAAAATATGAAAATATTATGTTTAGGATCGTCTACGTCGATCCGTATTATTCATGCAGCTTATCAAATTTCCAAATGTGCCATATGTTTAACTCGCTGATTGCTGAACGTGTAGGAGCTTTCTCACTTAATCAGCTGGACCGATCAGTCGATCGCTCTTTGTTGACTCGTTCGGACGCGTATTATGGTTTAATTTAAAGTCGGTGTTTTTCTTTGAAATAATCAATTGTAGAATGTTTGTTCTCATCTTTCGAGCTTATCACCTCAATTCTAGTGCGATTAGTTTTTATTGACGGCTGCAACGGTTAACGGAGTTATACTGTGATTTTTTTCTCAAAAGCTACCTGACTATGATAAAACTCCAATACAGTTCTGTGGATGCGTTTCAGGAAGAAGTGTAAAAACGAATCTGTCTCTGATGACATCGGGCCGACAAAATTCACTGTCAGTAAAACATCAGACTGATCTAATTTATCCTATATATTAATAAATCAAATTTAATTCTCGTAAAAAAAACCACCACAATTTTTTGTATAGTATAGGTACAGTCAACTTTCACTCGTTGAGCTAAGCCCATACCCCACTTAGTGAAAGACTTTCGTTAGTTGGGCTGAGCTGTCAAGCTGAACATTGGTTGAGGGATACACGGATTGTTTATTATCATCACAATCCTTTAGCAACTATCGAAATTGTTCATCTATGAGCCCCTCGAAAAGAAATCAGCACTGTCATTTCTGACGCTTGACTTCGATTTAGGTGGACTTCAGCGGGAACCCAATGAAAACGTAGTCCACTTAAAGATAGCCGTAGGAGTGGATAGGAGTGAAATTCGACTGTAATAGAGTAAATTATTTTTAGTGAATAGTTTATTCTACCATTTTGTGTAAGAAAAAAATAAATAAAAAGTAAATCGATTTAAATGATGCGAATTGTCTTATGGAGCATTTGGATATCTTCCGGAGTATTGATACTGCTATTGCTGGGAGGTATAGTAACAATAATGGTTCAGGTAAGTGCTTAGGTAATAAATAAGGTGTCGAACGGTTCTGCCTGTTCCTGATCCATTACTTTCAGGAACATGGAGAACTCTATTATCTCATATGTAGCTAGGGCCGGATTAACGCCACGGTCTTGCCCCCCCCCCCCCATTCTTAAAAAGTTTCAAAGTAATCTTAATGTTGGCTACCAAAAAGAACAATAAACAAGATTTGCTAAACCATCCTAGACAAAACAGAAAATCATTGACGAGATTCAATTACTGCAGAAAGGCCATTATGATTCTGAACGCTAAATAGAAGTATTTTTAGCATACGATTTCAGTCTGACATTTTTCATCATTGTAATGTTAGAGTGAACGGATTACTCATGAAAACAATTTAAAAATACTTGAAATCACGGTGAGTGTTGCAACCTTTACAGTATATGGTTGAGAAGAACGCGGGGGGGGGGGGAGGCGGCAGTGCGGTCAAAGAATAAATTGTAAACAAAGCCATACGGCACTGCACACACACACACACACACAAATGGCTGAATCTCTTACACATTCAAACACCTACGCAGAAAAAATAGTGATGTAAACATCTATGCGTAAAAACTTGCCGTTTTCATTCAATATTTGAAATATTCCATGAAATGACTCATAACCTTAAACGATCTGTAATCTAAGCTTACACATATGATCTATGACGCTCCCGGGGGCCTCCCTTAGCTCAGTCAGTAAAGGTGCAGCTACAAAGTAAGACCATGCTGGAGGTGGCTGGGTTCGATTCCCGGTCCGGTCTAGGAATTTTTCGGGTTGGAAAATTTCTCGACTTCCCTGGGCATAGAGTATGATTGTACTTGCCACACAATTATACTAATGCAAAAATGGTACAGGCATCGAAAGCTCTCAATTGATAACTGTGGAAGTGCATCTAGAATACTAAGTTTTGAGAGCACGCTATAAGCATTAAGCTTGAAATGCGAAGAAGAAGATATGACGCTCCAATTATGTACATCATATTAAATATTTAGAAATTAACTCTACTTTTTTAAACTGTGTAACTATACTCATCCTGCTTGAAAAAATTACTGGAGAACAGCGCCGAGGTTCACTGAATGTATCAAGCCGAACAATTGAAAAGGCCTCAACTCCATTATGTAAACAAACTGCCTTACAACCATTTTCTCGCGAACCGAAGTCCGCAAAGGCAAACCAACATAATGAACAGGTATGGGAATTCTCCTCTACCCAATTGTGGTTTAGGTTTGCGAATGTAGATTTTGATTCGCGAGAAAATGGCCTTACAAGGTTTGTTTACAAAATATAGTTAAGGCCATTTCAATTGTTGGTCTTGGTATTTTCAGTCAGGTTAGGAAAAAAATGACTGCATAAGTTAGCATTGGTGCACTCGAGGGCCCCACATATGTTTGGCCCGGTCGCCCCATAAATGTAAATCCGGTCCTGGATGCAACCAATACACACTACAATCTGCTTGTGCAAACAGATTGGGCTAAAACTCGGTTGTATCGCTAGGCGAGTAAGAGAGGTGACACAATCGGAAGAAATGTTAGTTTGTTTACTAAAATGAACCATGCCCATTTTGTTATGGCAAGTTTGCTATAAGAAATGCTCCTCGTGTTTATTAGTGAAATTCACATCAAATATTGATTAATTGCGTAGGAAATCAGTTTGGCACGGCATTTGTGACCAGCATACACCTTCCGGTCGTGTGAAACAGGTCAAAAACTGTCCAATTCCGCAGATAAAAATTTTTGTTTTGAATTTCTGTATGGCAAAATAGTTAACTTTTCGTGAACATTAATGGCAAAGAACTCACCAACACTGGGAGACCGTGAGTTCCTGCCCACCTGTCATTTCCCATCTCGGCTGTATCGTATGTGAAGTGTTAGTACGACAAAAGATAGTGTTGAGCAATCGGTTAAATACAATCAAACAGTTTTGATTTAGGATGGGCAATCCCTAATAAAAATTACCATACACAAACGATAACCCAAACAATATAACTATTCCACAAGTTGTTTGGATGATACCCCAAACACGTCGTTAAGCAAAATAACCATAACAATTTTGTTAATGAAGTCTTAGCTTGTTATACTATGAAGAAACCACAGAATCATCGCGAGTACGTTGAACATATTGAAATTGAATTGAATTGCACAAAACGGCAAAAATAAATTTAAGTAAATACTTATATATTATTATAAACTAGCTGCATATTCTACATTCATGGCCGAGATGGAAATATGACAGGTGGGCAGGAACTCACGGTCTCCCAGTGTTGGAGAGTTCCTTGCCATTAATGTTCACGAAAAGTTCACTATTTTGCCATACAGAAATTCAAAACCAATTTTTTTATCTGCGGAATTGGACAGTTTTTGACCTGTTTCACACGACCGGAAGGTTTTTGCTGGTCACAAATGCCGTGCCAAACTGATTTCCTACGCAATTAATCAACCTTTGATGTGAATTTCACTAATAAACACGAGGAGCATTTCTTATAGCAAAACTTGCCATAACATAATGGGCATAGTTCATTTTAGTAAACAAACTAACACTTCTTCCTACTGTGTCACCTTTCTATTTCCCGCCTAGATACATGGCTACTAGACTGATGCAAAATTTGAAATTTTCGCTCCACAGTGCTTAAACAGTTCCGAATTGGGTCCTGCTTAGCCTCCCAAAATTTGAACTACTTTAGTAAGAAACTGACTTCGCACAAACCATTTCAAGTTTATATCGGAATTAATATGGGAAAACTTATGTTTTTGTTCATATGTATCTAACAATTCACCACATCACTATGCTTTTAAAAATGATAGCAGTGATTGTAGAAAATATTCTTTGTTGAAAACCATTTTTCAATAAAATGTAAGGAACAAAAGTTATTAATGATTCAAGTCACTGATGTCTTATGATTATGCTCATTCAACTGTTCAGCAGGCAACATTGGTGTTTCTGGTGAGAATAATAGAGCACAAATATCATGGCTACTATGTCACACTGCAGAATACAGTGTTGCTAACAGAACAGCTGCTTGATCATGCCATAAGATTATCAATCTCTTAAACAATTAATAACTATTTAATTTGACATTTGGCTGAAAAACGATATTGCGCAAAGTTGTAGCTTAAAAAAATTCCCATAAGAATAGTTATAGAACTTTTCGAAAAAGCAATATGGAAAATGGGTAGTAGACAATGAACGAAAAGTTTGGTTTTCCCATAGTAATTTCCATATAAACTTCGAATAGTTTGTGCCAAGTCAGTTTCTTACCAAATGAGTTTAAATTTTGGGAGGCTAATCAGGACCTGATTTGAAACCGTTTGAGCACTGTGGAGCGAAAATTTCAAATTTTGCATCAGTCTAATGGCTACTCTAACTTTCTTCTCATAACCCACTCAGTCACATACACGGCCATTGAGAGTAACTTAGAAAGACAGAGAGAGTTACTTTTACTCAGAGGTATGAAGACTTTTCTAAAAACTGCAGGAACTCAGCGCTGAGTACATGCAACTCATACAAATGATGCAGCTGAGTAGAAGTGTAGCGGCGCTGGTGGTGTAGTGGTCAGCATGACTGCCTCTCACACAAAAGGTTCTGGCTTCAATCCAAGTCGTCAAGATTTTCTGATTTTCTCCGTTGTTCTCAATGTTGTGGGTCCCCTCTCCGGGCCGCTATCTCCACTCGTTGTACGTATTTAGTTGCCTATTAGGTCGTATGAATAAAAGCGTTTACTTTACTTTTCCCGTAAGAAAAGCACGGGAAAGTAAAGTAAACTCCTTAAACTCATACGGCCCATTGTGATTACATGGTTATCTATGTAAGCAGGGATGAAATTCTATGGTTGGCCAGGTCTCTCATGAACGGAAACAAATCCGATTTCCGATTCCATTTTCATGAATAAAAAATCATGAAATGAAGAAACTTGCCATCCCATGAAATCGTAACAATGATTCATGATTTCGTAATGGAAATTCATGATTTCATAATGCAGTGGAATCATGCCCGCTACATGCGATACACGTACTTGGCAAACCGTGTTCATAAACCACACTACATTGGTATCTCTTATACGCCTTTTGTCTTCCATCTTATACAAGTACTGATAGTCTAGTAGCCAAAGTATGGGTTTGATGATTTCAAGGTTGTGTTGGTTCGAATCCAGTCTGATGCTTTATTTTATAAATTTTACATGTTTTGGTTAAAAGTTAAACCCATGAAATTTAGCTCATGGTTTCAACTCGGATGATTCATGATTTTGGGAATGTTTGCTGCGTTACGGAAAAGTTGCTCATGATATCATGCATATTATTCATGGTGTATTTTCATAACATGAAAACACACTGTGTTCATGAAATCATGAGTCATTTTTCTCATTTCGGAGATCGGATTTTTTCCCGTGTGGGGACTGTGTTCAGAGCCAAATCGGCGTAAGTCAAGAATGTTATGTCCGAGCCTACTATCCACCAACTATGGTGACGAGTTTTGAACGTATTCGGAAGCATGTCAAGGATTTACAGGGACGAGGGCAGCCACACCATTAGCCCAATCACCATTTCAAAAAAATGTCACCCTTCTTTATTGTAGCGTCTAATCCGATGCAGCGTATCGTGTCCATTATGCGGTCATTATGATCGTAAAAGTCTTGCAAAAATCTTTAAATGAAAGGTTTTATGGTCTCATAGAACGCTATTGAATAGTTGCGGAATCGGTCATCCAGTTCCGGAGATATGGCCGGAACATGTTTCGGAAAATACGGATTTTGGGAACCAAGTCATGTTTCTAAACAACCAGTGAACTGAATTTGACACAATAACCAGCAAATGAAAGGTATGATAGAATATTATTGGAATCAGTAATCAGGTTCCGTAGATATGGCCACAACAAGTTCCGATAAACACAGATGTTGCTAACTAAGTCGTGTTTCTCAACAATCACTGGACGCTGTGTCACATCGCCCAAGGACGTTTCGCCGAAAGACGTTTCTGCCGAAGGACATTTCGCCG